TTACAGGCCTCTCTCATCTTTTTAAGTGGGAGAACTTGCACAATTGGTGACTGACTAAATACTTATTTTCCCCACTGTATAATGTTTTTGACTGGGGTGTTAAACAGAGAATCATCTTTGTTTTAATATGGGGCAAACAAATGTTCTTAGTTAAGGTGGTTTAATTAGAAAAACTCAGTGAATCTCACAGAAAGACTCAGCCTGCGTGCGCAGTGACACGCTCATATAGCAGTCTCTCAGGAGGAGAGTTTAGTCACTCACACAGAGTTGGACAGATCTGTTCAATAACAACATTCTGAACATTTATTTGATATAAAGTTGGGTTTTACAGACCAAAGTCTCTGGTAGTTCAGGAGCAAAGTGCAGGAGGAGTGGAGGAGTCAGGACTGATCACTGCAGCAGCTCGAGTCGAGCMGGCCCGCTGCTTCAACCAAACCTGCTCTCACTGAAAGTCCCGCCCTGCTCTGCTCTGATTGGACAAAATGGCTCTGGACTTCGTCTGATTTGTTGAAGGCAGTGTCTGTTTAATCCTTATATCAGGGTCCCGCTGTGGCGCACTGAACAATCCACTCACACCAGTGCTGCTGGATTCTTTTTTATTTATTAATTTTTTTAAGAAATCAGGTCGCCGTTACGACCAAACTGGTCGCACTCTAGAGCCCTGCTAACTGTTGTTTTGACAGACAACCAGGTACAATCTTACTCTAACCGGGAAAATACATATCTAACCACTTCAAATTTAGTAAACAGGAGAGCACAAAAACTTTACCCCTGTTTTTAAATAGTTCTGATATGCCAAATAAAACTGGGATTGTGATAGTGTACAACAAATTTTTCTAAACATGATGTTCTGAGATGTAGTGCAGTGACAGGCAACACAGTAGTCTTGTGTAAAAACTGCAGTCCAAAGTCTTGTCTCTCRTTTTTTTGTCAAGAGGTAAAAAATCTACAGGAAGAAGAAAATGAGATGCGAAAACTGAATAGTTTGGTGGAAATGGAGAAACAGCAATTGCAGGAAAAAGTAATACGATTTGAGAGATTTTTAATATTTAGCGTGTTGTGGGCTGAACAGAATTACACCAAATATGGCAGGTTAAACCATTTTTAAGGGGAAATATGAATGTAAAATCTAAAGACTCCAAAAAAGGTCCAAATGAACCCTGGACTCCAGAGGGTTAAATACATAAATTCACTTCACCAAGTTCTCTTCCATCTCCCTGTTCTCACCATTATAGTCCATACGACTTTTTGTCTTGCCTATCTTTTGGTCTAAAGCAGGGGTCTGTAAACTGCAGCGGCTCTTTAGTTTTTGACCAAAACTACATTAGATAGATGTTGTTTTGTTTATTTGTTTTAATATACTCAAAAGAAGAAAAGACTAGCTTTAAGGTAATTTCTGTTCATTTCTTCACAAATTGTCTTCTTTAACATCTCTATAGAGTCTTTGCACACACCACTGCATCCTGGTCACATGACTAGTCGAAATCACTTACTGGGAAAATACATATCTAATACAAGGAGTAAAACATGTTGATTAGATCATGCTAGTAGTTTATTGAACATGTTTGTTTTATTTATTTATTTATTTACTCTCAAATCCATCAGCAAATTTTTTTGAAAACCAGTAAGACAAATTGCTGAGAGTAAATATGGTAACTTTATTAGATAATGAAAAATGTAAAAGGTTTTCTTTGAATTTGGTTTGAACTATAAAAGGTATTTTCCTGTTTATATAAAAATGGTCTGCCTTATGCTAAAGTGTGACTTGGCCCTTGCCTTTCTATACAGCTCCGCTCAATTCTAGTTTCCCTTCACTGCTCCAGCTGGGATTTCTCCCATAGACAAGGATTTCTTCAGGAGAATTTCATTTGGGCCAATCAGAGAACAGAAGGTGGAGTTTTGAACATCGATTTTCTGCGCAGTGTCTGCTTGTGAGTTTAGCAATGGCAGTGGAGGAAGTGAATGAAGCCAGTTCATGTTGATAAGGCTTCCAAATTAAATTAAAATTGTCTGACAAAGCAGCAGCTCTCATTTACAGCTGTCTTGTTCGGCTCTGTAATTTGCTCTTCTCAGTAGGGTTGTTTACGGCGCACGTGATTTCCGGTTAGCTTCTTAGCTGAGTGTAACCCAACACATAGGTTACTTCCAGAACTCTTGCTAGATCTACACACTTTATTACAAACGTTGGAAAAAGGAGCCTAGATGTGAGTGACAACAGAACAGTGTGTGCACAGTTTCCAGAAAAAATATTCAATTTACTTACTCAATTGTTTTCATTTGCAACAACAATTCACAACACGGGGCGCTTTGGAACAAAATGAAATAAAACAAAAACAAAGTAATTCAGTCCTTAAAGTCTTTTTTCAAACTGTCAAGTGTTCATTCAAAGTCTCATTTGTTGTGACCAGTCAGGTCCCTATCTACCAGTTCGTTCAATCCTTTGGACTGGGGGTTTCGCCGTCCAGTTCTGGAAAAATGATCCTGTCTTTTCTGYAGCACTATATGTTGAATAGTGCTTCACAAAAAACCCTGACCTACAACAAGGCCAGAATAAAGTAACTTAAAACACAGTAAACTAATAGTTATTAGCTCAAAGCTACAATTTAAAGTGGTTCTACAGTCATTTCGCAAGTGTTTCTCATGTTGTACAACAATTTAGTTCAAGTTATCACAGTTACAGAGCACCAACACAATAATAAAACTAAAATGTGTATGTGTGTGGTGGAAATTATTCACCCTCATTTTTGTATTGGCTTCAAATTAAAAAATTCACCAAAAATCACAGGTTTATTTCAAAAATCTGAAAAAAATAAAATAAAAAACATATATACAGTATACTGTATATCGCTAATGACTAGATATGGTTCATGTAAATACACAATTGTTTTTCAAGCCCATCAAGTTAAAAATTTTCATTAGAAAAAAATAATAAAAATGTTTATGGTGCGCAGCAATAACAAAACCAACTAGACATGGGTTTTTACGATGTAAAAACAAGTGTGCATTGCCACGTAGCATGTCATTGCAGCATGGCTTTGCCTGCCGCATTGGACTTGCAGAATGAATTTTGACCAAGTTCAAATGTGTTTTCTATACCAGCTTGTACCTGTCACATCAGCAGGTGTTCAGAATTAAGGTAATTGTGTGACAATATGAAGTTTGAAGAGATTTTTTCTTAAAGTTACATTAGCTGGGTTTTGAACCCTGATCTCCCACATGAAAGCCCATGACATAGACCATTAGACCATTAGAGCTGTGGCAGAAGGTGGTGGCAGGGGTTGGTTTGTATGTGTGCAGAAAGAGGCCACATTGCCAATACAATTATTGACACTAAACTGCATAATATTACAACAATAGAGCAGTATTAAGACAAAATTATAGTAAAACATCAAAATACAATCATAATATTGTAATCATTGAACTATTGATTTTAAATATTATGAAACTATGGTGCAGTACCATATTGTGTAGATGCAGCAGGGGGCAGTATTGGACCAATACAAGGCTCCATTGACTGCCATTATAATTTATTAAACGTTAATATTTCAAAAACTATAAGTTTTACAGGCACCAAAAGTCATAGCCATCATTTGGCACAGGRGCTTTACAGATATAAATTACAATGGCAGCTCTAGGACAAAGTATGCAGGAGGAGAAGCATGGCAAAGTTGAGATGACTTGGATGGGAAACGATTCACAATAGTGTGCATTGCATTGGCAATGCACACTGATTATAAAGTATAAATAATTAAATGGATTCCAACAAAATTCACGTTTTGACCTCATTAGCCTCACAGTAATCACTGGTCATTTTTGTAGTGATTGAAAAATGGGATGTTAATTTCCTAGCCTTTACCTAATTAGATAAATTTCTCACCAACAAATGCAGAAAATAAATAAATTTTGAAAAGTTTGAGTATCAGAACTGTTTACTATATATGACAGAATCTATCCTTTAAATCAGAGATGATGTACCTCTTTGCTGGGTGAGAACTCCAGCAGTAAATTGCATAGTGTTGAAGAAGCCATGACCAGGACTTCATCTGGAGCATTCTGAAGCAACTACAAACAAGGAAAAGGTTATTCTACTTTTTTCATTATAATATAATTTATACATCCAGCTTAGTAGCTAAGGTTTGGTAAGTGAGAAGCAATGAAACAGAACTTTTTCTTTCAGAGAAATCTGCTTTGGTGTATTCAAACTGACCTTCATGAGGGGTTTCCAGACAGCGTGATCGTGAAAGCTGGTCCTGAGTTGCTGCACAGACCGTGAAAGACTGTGTAGACACCTGCAAGGAGAAAAAAAACTCTGTATTTACTTAATGACTGTCCAAATATTAACGTGATAAACTAAGTTTAAAACATCACGATTAATCAGAAGGGTAGAAAATTCTGAGTTACAGAATTGCAATTAATTCTTTTACTGTAATACATAAAACACACAACTAAAGACAATAAAAACAAAAACTATTTAAAACTAGAAGCACTCGGAGAGTGCAAACCTCCGCCAAGACCAATTTCCTCCATCCTGTAAGAGTTAATGCACAAAAGCAGAGATGGAAACACATTTGGTGGAATCCAATGTGAAAAAAACAAAAGTCAGACTGGTCACTCGACGTTATTCATGGTCAAACTGGTGTGGGATTAAGCTCCTAAGTTTTCATCAGTCACATTTCACCATGTAAAACGTCTGTTTTATCTCCTTGTATGGGTTTGTAATGGTTTGACTCTCTTTATAAAGTGCTTCCTGGCTCCCCCCGTCTCCAAACTTTGAGGCCCGGCCCAGTGTTGCCAGATCTCACGACAAAAACAAGCAACCAGCTCTATGAAAACAAGCCCAACTGGCAACCTCCCCATTATGTAAAATAAAGGTCAATTGTAACAGTACTGTATTAATGTATACATTTATTATTGCATTATACATAAGCAACAGCAAAATTATGATAGAAATTACCATAAAAACTAATAACTTTAATTGTTTGAATAATTAAATTTATTTTAATAACATTTAATTTTACACTTTAATCATAAGAAAAGTGCATTTTGCAGCAAAATGACAGTACGGTCAACAAAAACTCCCAAAAAACTTTTTTTCCTCACTCTTTATTATATTTTCCCCCATATTCTCCTGGCTTACTGAAACTCATTCTTACTCTGTTTTGTCACTTATATCCAGAGGAGAAGAAGTAGTTTTTTCTGATATTATGACCAAAAATAAATAAATAATAATAAAAATAAATAAACTGGTTCTGGCTCATATCGTTCTCTCCCATTCAATCCATGCAATTATTCAGCAAATTCCAAACAAAATGTCACTTGTCATTATTTTACTGTACTGTACTTGTATCCCAATGCAAGCAGCGTATTTWTTTATTTATTTATTATATTTTTTATGTCTGTGCACCACCTGTGTAAAAWRTCCCAGTCCATTAAATCAAGCGCACTTATCCCCACTGTGCAGAGCTCTGAACTTGTCCTGAAGCAGTTTTTTTTCGAGCTGTGTTGTGTTATTGAAGAAAATAACATTCAACACAACTAAATGCTCTCTCTTTGTTTTTAATTGGGATATTTTGTAACAAGCAGACATTAAACGTAGCGGTGCAGGTTCTGAAGGCTGGCTGCGTCATGCTCCGGACCGAGGGGAGAGAGGAGCAGAGACTCCAGCACAGCTCAGACACTTCAGAAAATATTTGAATGAGGAAAAACTGTCTGTTGCTAACGGATCTATTCTGACACAAAGTGCAGACATGACTGGTTCTGAATGACAGCTTTTCTGCTCTCCCCTCCTCCCAGTACAGCCGGACCACAGCTACTGGCTCACCTCTGCCTTTTTCCCATCACTCTGGGCTCTGGTGTGTGTGTGTGTGTGTTTGAAGTGTACCGACTCAACAACCAGGAAACGAGGGAGTGGGAGGGACAAACACACCCACTAAACTTGTGTTCTGCTTAACTGTGGGGAGCAGAGTTAAGTATTTCATTCATTCAGAAAGATAAGTCCAAAATAAGCAACTCACGTTTAATAATAAGCCCAAAAAAAATAAAAATAAAAAATAAAAAACGCAACCCACGACTCACGGAATTTACAAGCGACTTTGGAAAAAAAGAAGCCCAAAGTTGCTTATAATAAGTGGACCTGGCTAGTAGCGAGAAACCGTTTTGATTGGTTGCYTCGGAAATATGGTGTGTTTGAGGAAATGGGAAAAATAGGTTTCATGGTGCAGTCACGCACTTCCTGGTGACAAAACGTTCTGTAAATGTGCATATTATGGCAAAAATTATTCATCATTAAATGTGGTTTTAACATTACTTTTATAAAGTTTGAAGTCCGTGCTGTCCAATCCAGCTCACTGTTTTTTACAGAGGCCCTGTGAAAGCATCACAGCTTTGCCGATCTCAGAGTGTTAAAAGAAAAAAAAAATTCCTGATTCGTGATCCGGAACATCACCAAAATTTAAAGGTGTGTTCCTTGGCCCAGTACACACAAGTGGTAAAAATATCATGACAATTTGTCCACAAGTTTTTGAGTAATGTTGTCCACAGACAGAACGACAGACACATGTGACCGAAAACATTACCTCATCCTTGGCGTAGGTAATAAGACATAAGATATAACACAAAATGTAGGAATATCATTGAAATTCACCAAATAAGGAAACTTAAGACAATAAGTAACACAMTGCATGATTTTAAATTAACTTGAAAGTTGTATATATGAGTGAGGTTTAATAGCATTACAGCCTAAARCGATCAATTCCATGTTTGCAGCTAATATATTGTTTATGAAGTAACTAATCGATAAAGTTGTGCTGTCTGCAAATTGTTTGACAAGTATAAGTAGTTGTATACTTTTGTTTTTTTAAAGCAGAGAAGCAAGCAAAACATTTAGACCCATTTAAAACTCAGAGTGGCCCAAAGGTACACTTTGTTTGAAGAAACCTGCAGTTCATTCAAAAACATGTTTTTAATGATTTTTTCCATATTTTATTAACATTATTTAAGGTTGATGTAAAAGAGTCATTCCAGTAGATTTAAAGATATTGAAACTCACATTTAACAAGGGATGACAAAGCTTTGTCTTTGAGCATTTTCATCACAATTTAAGACAATGTAAGAGTGCATTAGAAAACCCCACCTGACTGCTGCTAACCGGACTTTAATGCTGGATTCTGATAGCCCACTAACTATCCGGTCCATCATGTTCTCAGTCTCTGTGATCTGAGGTAAACAAAAACAAAGATTATATAATTAGCACATTTCCACACAGACACATTTCTGAAGAAAAACCATGAATGATAAAACCTTTTTGCGGATGTCTTCATCATTGGAGCCAAGGGAAGCGTAGAGTTTAAAAGCAGCTTGCCTCAGCTCATGTGCATGTTTCAGATCATGGTCCAACTGTAAACAATAGTGAAGAGGAAAGGTGCACCAGGGTAGAGATAGAAAAAAAGTTATAAAAAGGTGTAAATATATTTGGCTGTGGGCCAAGAGCTGTGACAAACTTATTATAGGTTTTCCTTTACGTTATAAATTATCTGCTCAGCCTACACATGGACCATCTCCAACAAGTTTTATGCAAAAGTAAAAAATTGTTAAGTATATTACAGCGTAGACAAAACCCGAGCACCCCCCTCCCCCCCGAGTACCAAGAGCAGCAGAACCTCCCCCGTTCAGTTCACTAATGTCGGGGAAAACAATTCAAACCGTAGCCCATCAATTTAAAGCCCAGACTCTGCTCTTTCCAACAATATAAGTGTCACAGCTCTACGTGAAAAATTCACA